GCATTTTACGTTCATTTTTTTCCAATCAACTCCAATTATGTTAAGTAGTAGTAGTAGTAAAAAATCATTGGCAAACTAAATATCTTTCTGAGTGTACTTCAAGAATTCTGAATTCCATAAGGGGTTCATGTAAGAAGAGTGATGCTCTCAAAACTATTCAACATGAGAAAATTCTTTTGCATCTTAAAACTAGAAATAGAATTCATTTATCTGAAAAATTCTTTTGCACCTTGAACAATCATTTATCTGAAAAAAAAATACGGAGCTACTTCTTTGTGCGACGTGTTTGAACCCAAATGATTCATTTTGCATTTGATAAGGGGAAAGAAATAGATTCATCTTGCAGAATTGGATCCGTATGATTATTCTATTGTTTAGTTAGTGACACTTGAGAATCAACTATTTACTTACATTATCGATATGTGCAGTAGTGTTGATTTCTCATCTCTAAATGATTTTACTAATCTTGCATAACAGTTAGCTCAGACAAAAAAAGGATTGTATCATTTAGTTTATAGACTTAGGGTACGTTTGGGGCGGCGGTTTACCTGCAGCAGAGCACTATGCCGCTGGTTTCGTCCATTTGGGGTGGCGGTGCAGCGCGACATCCCGCCGTTTGGTGTGAACGCGGAAAGCTCCTCCTTACTTGCGGCCCGCCGTTTGGTGTGAACGCGGAAAGCTACTCCTTACTTGCGGCCCAGCTTCGTCGATCGACTTTTTACCCCCGTGCCCTCTTTTTACCAGTCCTAACTGCGACAGATCTTGCGAAAGAAGAGCAAGCCGTGGCGGTCTTCTTCCTCCTCTTCTCCGTGAAAGGTGAGCTCTTCTCAGACAGCTAACGGACGTCTTCCTCCACAGTAAGTTTCCTGTGACTCTTCTTCTTCTTCTTCTCCTCGACAGAAATCAAATAACTCGAGGGAGCCCAAAAAAAACTTGAACGAGGTTTATTTTCAGAAATTCCTGGGTAAATTAATCTTCTGCATAAGCTCAAAATACTAATTTGGTTATTGGGAGTATTATTCCTCTAGATGGAGCACTTTGTTTTCCCTGTTTCGAGCACTTCGTTTTCCCTTTTTCCCTGTTTCGAGTGATTCTGTAAAGCTTTCCTGTTCAAACTAGCCAGCAAATTCATTTTTTGAAAAGATTCCTGGCAAATGGTGGGTGATTTTGACTTCACATTAAACAAAGGTGAATCTGATTCAGTGTGTCCTGTCCGTCAACAAATTTATGCAATATTCTCATTGTGAAATTTTGGTGAGAATTTAAAAGATAGTTGGAAGTGGGTAGTCTTGTAAGTAACAATGTTTCAAGCGTTATGTATGCAGTTATCCCTACTTTATGTCCCTACTTTATGCTGATGGGGCAAGATGGAGCTGTGAACTTCAATGCCATGTAAATAGAGCAATAAGCCCATTAATCCTAAACCCTGATATCTTTATAGGATTGAGATGATGCTAGACTTTGAAGAAGAGTATTTGGGAAGTTTTTCTTTGTTGGTATTATGTAACAATTTGAATTATCATCCATCGAGTTATTGTTTGCTTTCGTTTACTCTTGAATTTATTTATATCAAAATATTTAGCTTTAAAGCATTTCAAATACTTAGCATTATAACTATGAAATCACATTATGGGGATGTTTGGTACCTGCATTTGAGCAAGAATTACCAAGCTGCTGCTTTCAATCGAATCACTTATAGCTATAAAAGTAACCTGTGAAATAATTCAAACAAATTTACAACAGTAATCTTGTAGCATCTTACCCCATAAGTGAAAAGTTACCCCATAAGTGAATTACCCCATAAGTGAAAAGGGTGGATCAGATAATGGTGAATTCAACTTCATGTTAAAAATAATATTATCATTATTTTGCTTGTAATTTTATTAATTTTTTTTTCTTTTTTTAGCACTTTCTGCACTCACTGTTAAGTGAGTAATGTCTCTGAACTTTTGTTCTGTTTTGAAATAAACTTCTGCTTCTGAAGTATCAAATATGTGGCTATCATAATTCTGTTTTAAACAGTTTTACTAAACAGGAGAAAAATAATCATTTTTCCAGAAACAACTATCCCACAGCTGTTTTCACACAGCCGCAACAAACAGACAGCTAGCTTCCCCGCAACAGCTTCCTGGGGCCGCACAGCTACAGCTGAAAAGCTGAGAAGCTGCAGCTGCCCCTAACAGACCTTTATTGTCTTTGCATTAACTTTACCAGTTCCTGCTGCTACAATTAAAAGAGAATTATCAACATTGAAGATTGCAAAAATCGATTGCATAGTCGAATGAGTGATGACTGGCTTAATGATTGTCTCGTACCGTACTTTGACAAAAAAAGTCTATGATTTGGTTCCAAATGAAGCTGTCATGCAATATTATTCAAATATGCAAAATAGATTGAAAAATTTATAATATATTTTTGTTTTGAATTGTGTTATTCATTTTATTTATTTATATTTTTTAATGGGAAAATTACATGTGCAACACACAATTCTTATCGATTCAAGTATCTCACACCTAACGTTTCATGTTTACGCACATAACACTTTACTTGTAGATGAAAAGATGAATTTGGCTATTAAAATGTGATAATGAGTGTTATTTTTAATACGATGGTTGTAAATATGAAAATTTTGGCGTGAAATAGGTAAATCCATAAGAACTGGGTGCTATGCATGTAAATGCCCCTTTTTAAAATTTGCCCCCCTTCATAAAAGAGGTTGGTTCCGCCCCTGGGCCTAGATTTTTAGCCATTGGAAATTGAAAGAATTAAACTGACCAACAAAAATAGAGTCGTATGAGTGATTTGATCCTTTATGTGTTCATATGGGACGGGTGTAAAAGACACCCGTATCAACTTGAAATTAATTATCTTTTTGGTTTATAGTTCCTTGATTCTAAAGTTAAAAAAAAGAGCCTTGTTAATATAAGTTATATAAACATTTTAAAGGATTTATTAATGAAGAAACCCTAAATAAATTTGAAATTTTGAATATCATCCATCTAGTTAAATTTAAAAGTGCATAATAGGCACAACTAATATTTAAAAAATTTAAGTTATTTTCTTTTAAAGAGATTACTCATTCTTATTTACACATCATCTTTAGGTGGATTATTTATTTTTAAGTTTTAATCATCTCTATAGCTAGGAATAAATTATTATTTCTTTATTAATATCTATCAAGATGAATGTTAATAACCTCAATTTTTTATTATTTATCTTATATCATGTTAGTCCATTCTTTGATTTGACAGAAATATTTGCTTCAATAAACATTACAATTTTTTGGGTTAAAGTAGGTATTATGAAAGAGAAAAATATTAAAAATGTGAGAATTTAAAGAAGATAAATTGAAAATATGTATCATAAATTTCCCCCCTAAATGATATGGAGTACTAAACATGACCATATTAAGATGGCCAGCACAAGAAACTTAGTAGAATATCAATATGAGAGCCATGGGAGATCAAACCTATTGATTATATGCTAAGGGGCGATCAAGCACTAGATGGTTAGCGTTGGATGATTAATTTTAAGAAACATATGGTCTTTAATTGTTGTAAAAATGTTCCTTAAATTGAAAATATGTATCATACATTTCCCCCCTAAATGATATGGAGTACTAAACATGGCCAGCTATCTAAAAATGTTTCTTGAATATGTATCATATGATAGCAAATTTGTTTCTTGAGAATGACGGCTATCCATGAGAGGGATACGTTACGATTGTTCAAGGAATCTTTGAGGTGTGAGCATGGCTTTACATATGAAGTGACCACATGAAACCTTTTAAGGGAATAGAGGGAGAGTCATAAAGATTATTGAGGAATCAAGATGAAAGTTAGGAACTATCATAACCCAACAAGGGGATCTAGTGAAGAAGATCAAATACTCTAGGCAACTTTGATGGGGATAACCCAATCTGCGACACCAAGATGAGCTAATCGAAATGAGCTGATTGATGAGATTTAAGCAGCACAGCCTCAAACAAACTGAAAGGTATCTACCCATTCAAATGATTGGGTAATGAATGAAATTAACACTCCACAAGATTGCAGATCAACATTGGGCGAGACGTTCCAATCTGCATCTGATTGACTAGATTGCACAAGTTGAAGACTTCAAATATAATGCAAAAAATTTTATCAGGTGTGGATTGAGGTGTTAGAAATCGGTAAGAAGTAAGGATTCTATCTATCTCAAATGCTTTTACAGATTTGACAAATATTGTAGGATTAACTTGATCGAGTTTCACAGAAATCTCTGGCCAACACTGGTCTTTAAGAAACAATTTTACGGTAGTACATATTTATACTGAAACTTCTGGTGATGAAGGTGTCTGCTACCATAAAATCCTCTTAGTTCAAGTGGATTTTAATTAAATTTGAGGGAATGTAATTTATTACAATATTATTTAACTTCACGGGCAGAAAAATGCAAGGAAACTCAAAATAAGTAGAACCAAACTTAACAAAACAAAAATGAAACAAACTGCAATAGGCAGAACGCATATTTAGATAGCTGCACTTACAAAAAATACTAAACTGAAGATCCTCTGCTGTTTATATAGAAGTGAAATTCTTTAAATGGATGTTTAAATAAACTGATTTCACAGCGAGAAACAATAAAGTACATGCAGATTTCAACTGGCCAAGTAGTCTTCTTTTCTGATTACCTCTTTGATTCACTCCTACCAATCTACCAAACCTCACAATCTCCGAGTTAAATTAACAGCTCGCATCGTAACATGGATTTTCATGACTAAAAACTGCATATAGCACAGCCAAAGAAAAATATAGAACATGCCTTTCTCTTCCTGTGATTATACTTTATCAATAAAAACTCAGCATAAAGCACCAACCAAGATTAACACCAAGAAAATCCAGCAGTAAAAAGCCCGGAGACCTAACTGGGTCTTTCCCAATTCAACAAAATACAACCCCGTTTTCATACAAATCATCCACTAAAACCAAGTTTTTTCGTCAAAAGAAGAGGATCAATACCTTGGCCGAGATGGTGGCTTGAGCATGGCCAGAGTCCTCTGGAGCCACAGAGTAATCGGCCAGAACGACGACGTTCGGCTGGATCTCCTCCGAAACACACTTCGTACCGCTCGCCGGCAAGGTTATCCAAACGGCTCCCGCTCCAGGCATCTTAGAGATGAATTGGAGGCCAAAGAGTAAGAAAAAGAAGATACCAGGCATCGTTACGGCGGAGCTCAAGAACGCCGCGCCGCTTTTCTTCTCCATCCGATGCCGATCTACCAAAACAGTCGCGCTTGGAGCAGATCAATGTTTTCACCCCTATTTGGCTGCTTAAATCTATGTACAACTCACAAAAAAAGCCTCCCACCCTCTTCAAAGAAGAAAATATTGCATACTTATTCAATAACATGTGTTTAAAATAGTGAATGGATGAAAATATCGCATCATCATATATATGATATCACCAATTCATCCGTCCTTGTAAGTATATATTTAATAAATATAAAATATTTTCTTTTAACCTAATTTCAATGTATTTATATATCTAGCACGGATTTTTTTTTTCAACTTACATCGCCCAAATCTTCCATATCATATAAAATTATTACCATTTTAAGGGTTTGCTTAGGATAGCTGCAATAGTTTGAAGAAGCAACTGTGAAATTATTTTTAGAAGAGGTTGTTGCCAGTAGAAATTGCATCATAAGAAATATTTCTGTTTGAATAA